TGGAAGGGCAATCAAACAGAATCTAATCCTATCCCTTTATTTTATAGATGAGGAAACTGAGGCTCAGGGTGATTGTGACTTGCCTAAGGTCATGTAGTTATCATTAGACTCAGGTCCCCTGACTCCAAAGTTAGTGTTCTTTCCACCATATTTCTCTGTTTCCACCTCGCCATCCCCCAAACAAAGTACTATGTATAAACCTCCAATGTTGATTAGATCCAAAGAGGTTCTACATGTCAAGAGGTTTAAAAAATCCATGGGGGAAGTAGGTGAAGGAATGGTAAGGTCCTGAACTTCAGTGAGGGGAGACCACACATAATAGTGTACTTGGTGTTTTAACCTTTTATGTCCCATCTAGACCATAAAAGCAAATGTCTCGCTTTCCTTTGGCCAGCCCTGTGGGAAAGACTTCAAGAAACAGAACCCAGTGTATGGAAGTGTGCACCTTGGCCTATCAGCACAAAGTGACTATATCCTTCCACCATGTTCAAAAGTTAGAGAAACTGAAGGGGAATCGGATGATAACATCAGTAGAGAATGTTTTGCTACTTGATTCACTCCCTTATTATCTATGGTTTTTTCCATGTTTTAATTATATACTTTTTCTTTTTTTAGTAGTATTTTATTTTTCCCCAATTACACAGCAAGGCAATTTTTAGCATTCATTTTTTATAAGATTTTGAGTTCCAAATTTTTCTCCCACCCTCTCTGCCTTCCCCTCTTCCAAAAATGGAAGGCAATTTGATACAGGTGCTATCAAGTAAAACATATTTCCATATTAGTCACATCTGTGAAAGAAGAAATAGATCAAAAGGAAAAAGAATAAGGTGGAAAAAGCATGCTTCGATCTGCATTCAGACTCCATCAGTTCTTTATCTGGATGTAGGTAGTATTTTCCTTCATGAGTCCTTTGTACTTGTCTCAGGTCATTGTGTTACTGAGAAGAGCTGAGTCATTCATAGGTGATCATCACACAATGTTGCTGATACTATGTACAATGTTTTCCTGGTTCTGCTCATTTCACTCTGCATCAGTTCATACAAGTCTTTCCAGGTTTTTCTGAAGTCTGCTTGCTCATCATTTCTTATTGCACAACAGCATTCTGTTACATTCATATACCACAGCTTGTTCAGCCATTTCCCAATTGATGGGCATCCCCTCAATTTCCAATTCTTAGCCATCACAAAAAGAACTGCTATAAATATTTTTGCACATGTAGGTCCTTTTCCCTTTTTTATGATTCTTTGGGATACAGACCTAGTAGTGGTATTGCTAGATCAAAGGGTATGCACAGTTTGGTTGCCCTTCGGACATAGCTCCAAATTGCTCTCCAGATGTTTGGATCAATTCACAACTTCCCCAACAGTTCATTAGTGTCCCAATTTTCCCACATCCTTTCCAATATTTATCATTTTCCTTTTTTGTCATGTTAGCCAACCCAACAGGTATGAAGTGGTACTTCAGAGTGGTTTTAATTTGCATTTCTCTAATCAAAAATTATTTAGAGGGGTAGGTAGGTGGTGCAGTGGATAGAGCACCTGCCCTGGAGTCAGGAGAACCTAGGTTCAAATCCATATAGCACTTACTAGCTGTGTGACTCTGAGCAAGTCAGTTAGCCCCAATTGCCTTGCAAAAGAAGTGATTTAGAGTACTTCTTCATATGCCTATAGATAGCTTTGATTTCTTCATCTGAAAACTGCCTTTTCATATCCTTTGACCATTTATCAATAGGGGAATAGCTTGTATTCTTATACATTTGACTCAGTTCTCTATATATTTGAGAAATGAGGCCTTTATCAGAAACACTTGCTGTAAAGATTGTTTCCCAGCTTTCTGCTTTCCTTCTAATCTTGGCTGCATTGGCTTTGTGCAAAAGCTATTCTAATTTAATATAATCAAAATTATCTATTTTACATTTCATAATGCTCTTTATATCTCTGGTTATGAACCTATAACTCGATTAACTTCTCCTTTAAGAATTTGGATGCTATACCACTTGGTGTATATATGTTTAGTATTGATATTGCTTCATTGTCTATGGTACCTTTTAGCAAGATGCAGTTTCCTTCCTTACCTCTTTTAATTAGGTCTATTCTTGTTTTTGCTTTGTCTGGGATCAGTATTGCTACCCCTTTTTTAAACTTCAGTTGAAGCATAATAGATTCTGCTCTAGAACTTTACCTCCTTTACTCTGTGTGTATCTCTGCTTCAAATGTGTTCTTGTAAACAATATATTGTAGTATTCTGTTTTCTGATCCACTTTGCTATCTGCTTCCATTTTATGGGAGAAGTCATCCCATTCATATTCACAGTTATGATTAATAACTGTGTATTTCCCTCCATCTTATTTTTCCTCCTGTTTATCCCTCTCTCCTTTCACCCTTTCCCTCCTTACCAGTGTTTTGCTTCTGTCTACCACCTCCCCCAATCTGCCGTCCCTTCTGTGTCTCTCCACCCTTTACTTAATCTCCTCCTCTCCTACTTCCCTGTCATGTAAGATAGATTTCTGTATCCAACTGATTGTGTATATTATTCCATCTTTGAGCCAATAGTGATGAGAATAAGGGTCAAATAATGCCTGTCACCTACCCTCCCATTTTTCTCTCCACTGTTACAGGTCTTTCATGCCTCTTCATGTGAAATAATTTATCTCATTCTACCTCTGCCTTCCTTCTGCACCCAGTGTACTCCTCTTTCTCATCCCTTAATTTTTTAATGTAATTCCCTCAAATTCAACTTATACCTGTACTCTCCATCTATGCATAGTCCATCTAGCTGTACTAGTAGTGGTACATTTTTAAGAATTACAAGTATCATTTTCCCATGTAGGAATGTAAACAGTTCAGCTCCACTGAACCTTTTATGTTTTCTTTTCTATTTTTAACTTTTTAGGCTTCTCTTGGTTCTTGAATATTGGAGACGAAATTTTTTGTTCAATTCTGGTTTTCTCCTTATGAAAGCTTGAAATTCTTCTGTTTCATTGAATGACCATTTTCCTTGAAATATTATGCTTAATTTCACTGGGTGGGTGATTCTTCATTGTAGTCCTAGCTCTTTTGCCTTCCAGAATATCATGTTCCACGACCTCCGATCTTTAATGTTGCAGCTGCTAAGTCCTGTGTAATCCTGATTGTGGTTTTCCGATATTTGAATTCTTTCTTTCTGGCCACTTGCTATATTTTTTTCCTTGACCTAATAGCCTAATTTGGCTATAATGTTCCTTGGAGTTTTTATTTTGGGATTTCTTTCCCGAGGTGATTGGTGGATTCTTTCAATGCCAATTTTGCTCTCTGATTCCAGGATATCGGGGCAGTTTTCCTAGATAATTTCTGGGAAGATGCTGTCCAGGTCCTCCTTTTGATTATGGCTTTCAGATAGTCCAATGATTCTGATGTTATCTCTCCTGGATTTATTTTCCAGGTCAGTTATTTTTCCAATGAGGTATTTTATGTTTTCTTCTATTTTTTCATTCTTTTGAATTTGTTTAATTGGTTCTTGATGTCTCACAGAGTCATTAGCTTCCATTTGCCCAATTCTAACTTTTAAGGAGTTGTTTTCCTTGGTTACTTTTTGTGCTTTCTTTTCCATTTGGCCAATTGTACTTTTTGTGTGTGTGTGAGGCAATTGTGGTTAAGTGACTTGCCCAGGGTCACACAGCTAGTAAGTGTCAAGTGTTTGGTCTGAGCCCGGATTTGAACTCAGGTCCTCCTGACTTCAGGGCCGGTACTCTATCCACTGTGCCACCTAGCTGCCTCTGGCCAATTGTACTTTTTAAGGAGTTGTTTTCTTCAGTGGATTTTTGTTTCTCCTTTTCCATTTGACCAGTTGTACTTTTTATGCAGTTGTTTTCTTTTTCCAAGCTGTTGATTCTTTTTTCATAATTCTCTTTCATCACTCTCATTTCTCTTCCCAGTTTTTCTTCTACATCTCTTACATGATTTTTAAACTCCTTTTTGAGTTCTTTCATGCGTTCTTTCTGGGCTTGAGACCATTTTCCATTTTTCTTTGTGGTTTTGCCCATAGGAGTTTTGCCTTTGCTGTCCTCTTCTGAGTTTGTGTCTTGTTCTTCCCTGTCACCAAAATAACTTTCTATGGTCAGATTCTTTTGTTTTGTTTTCTTATCTTTTTTGGCCTTTTCCCTTTCTTTTAAATCTGAGCTCTGCTCCTAGGGTGGGAGGAGCACTGTGTCAGGCTCCTTGTGCCAGGGGCTGCAGGCCCTGGCTTTTTACCTGGTGCTATACTGGCATTGCCCTGAGGCACACGGGGGACCCTTGTGTCTGGCGCTGCACTGAGGGAGTGGAGGGGGGGGGTGGCTGGTGCTGCCGGAGGCCACAGGGATCTGGCAGCTTACCTGGTGCTGAGTGGTGTCTGGTGTTTACTGAGGCCGGCGGGCCTCAGTTTCCCTGGGGGCTACCCTGAAACATGTAGTGGTCTGGCCACTGGAGGTTACCTGTATGCCCAGGGTTACATTGAAGTACGTGACGGTTCTCAGAGCTGGAATATGCCCTGTTCCCCTAGCAATGCCGAGGCATGTGGGGGGTCCTGGTGTTGATATTTACCTGTTCCACTGCACTAGGGCTTAGGATCTACCGCTGGCTTGCTGCTGGCTTGCTGGGACCTGATTAGATACTTTTTCTATTGGATTTGAATGTCTCCACATCAGCAAGAACTCATCTGTGACTTAAATTAATAGGCTCCGAAACAGCCTACTGGACCTGATTATACCTGAGAGGATGCTACATATAGCTTAACATTTCTTCTTGTTGAACATTCCACTAGGTCAAGACCAGTTCTCAAAAATTATCATCTTGTAAAATGTCCTCCCAAGCACTGACAACCTTACTATAGTCTGTAAACTTGATGGACAGTGTGGCCAAGAGGGATGTTACATACAACTTAACTGAGTCTACTCATTCTGTTCAGCCCTTTTTTATATCCCAATATGGTCACTGCCTAAGTTCAAGGAACAATGAGCCAGAAGGGTAAGGAAAATACCTGCCTATAACTTTATTCTCTTAAATAAAGCAGAGATACACATGTAACCATATCCCACCCTTAACATCTGGAGATCAGAGGGAATGAACAGGATTCTAGAGCTCTCCCATGTAACAGCCAGAAGACCATTTGGCTAGGTTGTTCTCAGCAAGGCAGCTTCACTGTCAGAGGTCCCAGCAATTAATCCGAAAGGAACTAGAAGAAGAACAGAATATTCAGGAGGTGCTGGATGCTACAGGAAATTCTGCTTGTTCTAATGGGGTTGGTCTGATAGAATATCTGTGGTTTCCAATTCTCTCTGATCATGTTGTATCCCTCTGGAGGCCCCAACTCCTTTTCAAAGGATTGCAGTCATCACTGATATACATAACCTTTCCCTTCATTTTACTGATGAGGAAACTGAGGCCCAGAAAGATAAAGTGATTTTCTCAAAGTCACAAGCTAATTAGTAGTCAATCCATCAGTCAGTTGCTCAACAAACATTTATTAAGCACTTACTATGTGCCAGGTCCTATTCTAAGCACCAGGGAGATCACTTAATGAGAAAGTATAGAGGAAAAAATATAACCCAAGAATAGAACCTGGGTGTGTGTGTGTGTGTGTGTGTATGTGTGACATGAATGAAGAACCATCAAAGGATATTGAAAAGGAGTATTTAAAAGGATAAAAGGGAACCACAAAAACTTAGTATCTAGGGGAAGGTCTTCAACAATGCCAAATGCAGTAGAGGGACAAACCAAAAAGGATAAAAACTGAGAAAAGGCCACTGGATTTGGCAATGAGGGTATCACTGGTCACTTTGGAAAGGGGCAGTTTCAATTGAATGAGATCATAAGTCACATTGCACAGAGTTTAGAATAAAGTAAGAGTCTAGAAAATGGAGGCACTTTGTGTGAGTGCCTTTCTCAAGAAGTTTAGCTGAGAAGGGGAGAAGAGTTATAGGACAAGAGCTACCAGGGATAGTAGGATGAAGTGAGGATTTATTTTTAAAGAACGGGGGAGACACTAGTGTGTTTATAGGTAGAAGGAAAGGAGTTAGTAGATGGGGAGAGATCGAAGATAGGAGGTACAGTGGGTATGAAAGTAGGAGCAAACTGCTGGAGAAGATGGCAGTGATGAGATCAAGGGTACATTGGGAGGGGGGTGCTCCTGTCAAGGAGAAAGCCTACCTCTTCTTCTAAGATTGGAGTGAAGGAATATAGGGTGGGGGTAGGGAAAGCGAGTGCTATGGGAGGGTGAGGAAAGACAAGAAGGTTTGGAACAACTGCTGTGGAGAGCAGAATGGTTAATGGCAGGGCTAAGATTCAAACTCAGCTCCTTAGTCTCTAGATCTAGGACTGTTTCCGCTACACCGGGCTGCCACCTGGACAAATACACACCTGGATCCCAGGATGTTTGAACAGGGAGGGACTTTTCTGATGAGGTACAACCTTTCCCATTTTACAAATGAGGAAAGTAAGGTCCAGAGAAGTTAAGTGATTTGCTCAGGGTCACACAGCTAGAAAGCTAGGCTGTTTTCCTCATTGTTTCTTCTATCTTTCTAGGCTCAGCTGGGACCTAAAAACTCAGGAGTCAACATGGTACAGTGGAAAGAAAGCTGAATGTGGAATCAAAGGACCTGGGGTCAAGTCATGGCTCTTCCACTTAGTTACCTGTGTGACCCTGGGCAAGTCGCTTAAGTGATCAGGGCCTCAATTTGCCCCTCTATAAAGAAGGTTGAACTAGATAGCTCTAAATCTATCATCCTATGCGTTCTAAGTCCTGCCCTGTGTCTACATTATAACTTCTGTCTCTATAATCTCATAGGAGGCCTTGATATCTCCACTCTACCCTGGCACAGGCCCTCATTACCTCATGCCTTACTATCATCACAGTCTTCTAATTGGTCTCCCTGCCCCAAGTCTCACCTCATTCCAGTCCATTCTCTATTCAGCCATCAAAGTGATTTTCCTGAAGCTTGGGTCTGACTGTCACCACTCCCCCCAGTCAATAAACTCCATGAGCTCCCTAGTATCTGCTGGATCAAATATAAAATCCTGTTTGGCTTTTAAAGTCCTTCAAAACCAGTTCTCTTCCTACCTTTCCAATTATCTTATGTTTTGTCTGCCTCTACATACTCCATGATGCAGCCACATCGAGCTTCTTACTTTTCCTTGAACACAGTATTCCATATTCTGACTCTGGGCCTTTCTCTGATGGCTCTTTTGCTTGGGATGTTATCCCTCTTTACCTCTAACTCCTACCTTCTCAGGCTTCCTGTAAACTCAACTCAAATTCCACCTGCTTCCTCCCACTGCTAGTGCCTTCTCCCTGAGATTGCCTTCCATTCATACCATATCTTTGGTATGGACAATTTTTTTGCATATTGTTTCTTTCATTAGAATATGAGCCTCTTGAGGGCAGAGAGTGTGTATGAAGACCTTTCTTCATATCCCCTAGCACAGCTGCTGGCACCTAGTGAGTGCTTATTGATAGACCAAGGGACCTTCTCTGCATCCTATTGGATGGAGGTAGATGAGGTGATTTCATGGTATGGTTGTACGGGATAAAAATGAAGGAGAAGGGCCTAGTGGGACAAGGACCCATGAGAAACTGGACAGATGCATTAACTATCTTCCATGATCTCTGCTTGGACTATGTGTATTCCATTGGTAGAACAAAGTGGAGTTCATCTTGAGAGGTCCAGTTTCCATTCTCCTCTAATCAATGATTTTCTATTTACTTGTCCTCCCCTTCTGTGCCTTTATAAGATGCCTAATTCAACATTTTTTTTTAATCCCAGGAAAAAGGATGAGTCTTTGTGACACTCATAGAATCTACTCAGCAATCTAAAGACTAAATACCATCCTCAAAAGACTTAGGTAGCTCTTTCTCTTGGCCAAAGAGAGACTAGAGGTGCCTGACTTTCTGCTTTGTAACCTCCCCTCTTCTCTTCCCCTCTCCTTTTTCTCTCCTTCCCCCCCCCCTTTTGTAGCTGCTACTGGGGAAAGTTCCTTACTTCATGAAATCTGGGGATTTGGACATGGCATGTTCAAACTCTGAGAAAGATAGCATGTGGTCATTGTCCATGTCTGATTCTCCCAATATCTGCAATGGAGAAAGAAGAAATGAGGCATCCAAGAGATAGAACAAACAATAAGATAGAGAAAGGGTAAGGGAAAAGGCATTGAGGTACCCCCTGGCTTTGGCCCTTTGCTCAGGAATTCCCCAGGGTCATCCAGTAAGCCATCTGCTAAGTAACCCTGACCATTTCCCTCTCACCTCGGGTGTGAATTTTGGTAACCTCATGCTGTTTACAACAGCCAAGCTGGGCTAGAGGCCCCAGGGAGCCTTACCCTGATAGTCCCTAGAAGGTACAGTGCCATTTGGAGGTCGAGAAGTGGGTTAGATTTATTTTTTTTTAAGTAAGCAACTCTACAAAGTAATGAGCTCTCTATTCCTATGCCCTCCAAAGATTTGGTGTGGTCTGGTTCTTCTGCCAGCTATATCCTCCTTCTCTGGCTGGGAGGGCTCCCAGATAGCTTCATGGAGAAGGCTTAGGGTCAGGGCATACCTGTACTCTTTCCCCATGCATGTTTCCCTATATTAATTCTCCTTCATGCCCCCAACACACAGAGGCACACAGTCCCTGCCATGGAACTGGATTTTGCCATTGGTGGGTGGGGGAAGGATATGACAACTACAGAGTTGTAACTAGCAATTTCCATACACAGGACAATAAAAACAAATGCAATTGTGTTTTTAATTCCAGGGAGTGGGATGGGGGGAAAGGGAAGAGCAGCATAGACTCCAAGCTGTTTCCAAGGAGGGAGAAAAGAAATAGGGAAGGAGATTTCATTTGGAATATAGTTAAGTGGGGACAAGGGGAGGAGGAAGTACACTCCACTCCACCTGGTAGTAGGTGCTTAATCAATGCTACTTGCTTGATTGGACACTTCCTATCTAAAAAAAAAAAAAGAAAGTATTCTTGCTAACTAGGGGCTTAGTTCAGCTGTTTCTATCCAGTTGCTGAAGGAATATAAATGCTTCCAGCATACTCTACATTTCAGTACCTTGGGGAAGAGCCTTAATTACTCTACTCTAGTTACAACTTTGATTTCTTTTCATAAAATTGACAGGGAAGATAGTAAACTAGAGCCCAAGAGAAATGGAGTCATGGAACACTCAAGTCCAGTGTGAATGGGATGTCCTTCCTCTTAGGAAGGGGGGAAATGCCCCAAATCCAGCAGTGGGATTGTTATCATTAAATGCTGGGCTGCCATTTATGTGTCAAAGGCCTGGCCAAGTCTTCCCTCAAGGCCCTGAAATACTCTAGAGGCAAGATGAGCTAGCCCTAAAGGTACAGTGGAAAGGGCACTGGTTCTGGAGTCAGAAATCCCACACACAACCCTCGTCACCTTGGGCAAGTCACTTAACTTCCCTGGGCCTCAGTTTTCTCGTCTATAAAATGAGGGGTTTGGACTAGATGACCTATTAAATTTCTTCTAATTCTAGACCTAAGACCTTATGATTTCTCTTGGCCATCCCTCAGTATGATCCAATTGAGAACCCTAAAACTATAAATAGCAAAGACTTACCATGTGGCCTGGAGTTAAAACTTGGAACATTTGCCGTGACCCTTCAGGGAACTTCCCCCCGAGTTCCTCAAAAAGGGCAGGGCAGGGCAGTGAGTGAGAACAAGAAAATGGCCTAGTGAATGTAGCTTACTTAGCTATGATACCCAGTTACTTAGACCAAGGCCACATGTTTGATCCCCATGTAAAGTCAGCCTTTTGCAAATACATGCACTTGGCCATCATGAGGGAGAGTTTGGATGGTACAGAGCAATCTCTCTCTCTCCCTTGCTTTCCTAGCCACTTATTTGAGGGACTGAATCAGTGAAGGTTACACTTGCTGCACCTCTCCTAAGCCCTGTGGGCCCCACCAGTGGTGAAGGGAAGATCACATTTCACCCTTCCTCCCTTGACCCCCTCCCATCAGGTACATACATGTTTAGTCAGATTATTTAGCAACTCGTCACCCACATTAGTAGTGTTTAGCAGTCTCTGGATGATGCATTTGAGGTCATCCTCATCAATGAAGCCATTCTCATTAATATCTGCTGAGAAGAGGCAATTCTTAAATGTAATGAAGAAGTTGAAAGGGATGGATAGGGGAAGATCTTCCTCTTTACCTCACACCATTAAAAGCCAGTTATACCAGCTTAGGCAGCTAGGTGATGTAGTGGTTAGCGCTCCAGGCCTAGAGTCAGGAAGACTCATCTCCCCGAGTTCAAATCTGGCCTCAGACACTTACTAGCTGTGTGACCCTGGGCAAGTCACTTAACCCTGTTTGCCTCAGTTCCTATAAAATGAGCTGGAGAAGGAAATGGCAAACCCCTCCAGTATCTTTGCCAAGAAAGCCCTAAATGGGGTCATGAAGATTGGACGTGACTAAAAACTGACTGAATACCAACACCAACAATGTAAATATAAAGTAATTGATGAGGAGGATACTAACAACTGGAAGGGAGTGGAATAAGAAATGGCACCTGAGCTGAGTCTTCAAGGGAGCTGAGGATGCCAAGAGATGGAGGTGAGAACAACAAACCATTTGAGGCCTGGGTACTGCATAAATGCACCAAGATGGGAGGTAGAATGTCATGTAGGGGAAAAAGTAAATTGGCTAGTCTGCCTAGCACCTACAATGTTTAAAAAGGATAATTAGCCTTGAATATGTCTTAAAAGATAGACTGGAGCCAGACCGTGGAGGGCTTTAGAAACCAAACAGAGGAGTTCATATTTTATCCTAGAGACAATAGGAAACCACTGTAGTTTCCTGAGTAAGGAAGAGATATGAAGAAAACCAAAATTAACTTAGAAAGAAGCCAATTCTTATCAAAGGGATGGTCTTGGCACTGAACAATGACTTATCAACCACTTTGTGAGATATGTGAGAGGATATAGTCTGGACCTTTGATTATACGGAATACTTAGGAAAAAAAACTCTATCATAGATGCAGATCAGTGCATACTCTGCAACATAGAATTTTAGAGAGTGGGCAGGAACACTGAGAAGTTAAGTGATTTGCCCAGGGGTATACTGCCAGTAGGTATCAAATGTGGCACTTGAATCCCACTTCCCCACCACTTCCTCCCATCCCCATTCCTGATTCCCAGGTTAATTCTCTACCCATGATACCAAGCTGCCTCTCTTGTAGGTAATACAAGTATTATTATTCCCATTTTAGAGATAAGGAAATGGTGGCCCAGCCATATAAAGTGATATACTCAGAGTCACATGGCTAATAAGTGTCAGGGCTTGGATTTGAGCCCAGATCCCCAGAGGTTTTTTCCACTATACTATGCTAAAGAAGAAGGGAAAAAAGAAAGAAAAGGACATTCAGGAGGGATTCATTCTTATGATGGACACCAACCAGATGTTTGCTATTTCTATGGACACCGGACTATGAAGAAAAACAGGAGAAAAGTATCAATTGTTTGAGAGAGTGGTAGGAACCAGCTCTAGGACTAGCCTTCCCCAGCTATGGTAACCAGACTGACATGGCAGCATCTCCTCCTACCAGCAATAATGCCCCACTCACCTTCAAGCCCTGTTCCTCGCTCCCAAACTTCCAAACCTCAGTACCTGGGCCTCCTCACCTGGAACATCCAACCACCCCTGTTAGGAAGTTTTGGTTTTTTTTTCAGTGATCAGTTTTCTCCTCCTAGACCTGCAATTATGTATAAGCTTGCTACACAGCTCCCAGGAAAAGTTATTTTATAGTCTTTTTCTCTAAGTTAGTGGAGGGTTGACCTTGCAGATAGAAAGCTGGCCTCAAAATCAGCAAGTCCTTGTTCTTCCTGGGACTGATTGAGTGACTCTGAGCAAGTCACTTATTCTCTTCCTCCTTGCTGTTCCTTGTAGAAGATACTTCATCTCCCAATTTTAAGCATTTTCTTTTTTAAAAAATTAAATTTTTTTTTAAATTTTTTGCTTAGGCAGTTGGGGTTAAGTGACCTAGGGTCACACAGCTAGTAAGTGTGTCTGAAGCCAGGTTTGAACTCAGGTCCTCCTGACTCCAAGGCTGGAGCTCTATCTACTCCTCCACCTAGCTGCCCCAATTTTAAGCATTTTCATTGGCTATTCCCCCATAACTGAAATTCCCTCCCTCCTCATCTTCGTCTCTTGGCTTCCTTAAAATCTCAACTAAAATTCTACCTTCTGAAAGAAGCCTTCTTTATGTTATGCCTCCCCCTCTAAGATTATCACCAATTTATCTTGTTTGTACGTAACTACTTGCGTGTTGTCTCCCCCATTAGACTGAGTTCCTTGAGTGCAGGGACTATTTTTTGCCTTTCTTTGTATCCCCAGCACTTAGCACAGAGCCTGGCAAATAGTAGGTGCTTAATATGGCTTGTTAACTAACTGCCCCAGGCTACTTGCTCTTTTAGATGCTTAAAATTTACAGGACAGGCACAGATCTGCATCTGTGATATTACCAAACACTGTGAAATCACAGGTTCAAACCCTTCCCCTATTCTACCCCTGCCTCTCAAATCATAAGGTAGAAGTTTCCTAATCAGTATCCACTTTTCTTTTTATTTTCAAGGTGAAAATTTCATGTAGTGTCATTATGCTAAGGTAAGTGTAAGGAATTATTGTCAAAAGAAAAAAAAATTACCTCCTAAGAAATACATTTCCTCTTGGAATTTGTTGGGTGTTTCTTGACTTACTTTGTTAAAAAAAAAAACACCTCAAGGGGCAGCTAGGTGGTGTAGTGGATAGAGCTCTGGCCTTGGAGTCAGGAGAACCCGAGTTCAAATGCAGTCTCAGACACATAACACTTACCAGTTGTGTGACCCTGGGCAAGTCACTTAACCCCAATTGCCTCACCAAAAAAAAAAAAAAGCAAAACACCTCAGTCAGTTTTGCCCTTTCTTGGTTTCAGGCAGCAAGCTGCAGACCTCATTCCCCCCCACTAGGTTGACCTACCCTTCCCTGGTGAGCTTCTCCTTTCTAACTTGACCTTTTTCCCACAAGTACAGATTTGGGTCCCTTTTCAGATCTTATTAAGGAAAGTCTGAGGCACCCTGTTCCTCCCCTGCCTCCAGCCACCTCCTCCACAAACGATTGGCCACCCTCACTAGAGACCAAGTAACCCTTCCTCATCAGCATTCCTTGTCAGTTTTGGAACCATGAACCGTGATCAAATCAGCTCTGCCCTTTTTTCTGGACAGGAGGTGTCCATCTATTCTCCTATGGCTAGGGATGTACTAGTAAATGTGTTACACTGGGATCTCCAAAAAATTGTATACACCATACACTTTTAAGTTTAACATGCATTAAGATCATTTTTTCCATCCCTTTCTTAAGTCTAGACAATCAACAAAACAAATGAAGCTCTGACTTGTAGACAATTTCCAAGGTATAAGTGCTCACAAAAATTTAACAATCACCTTTATCAAGGAGCCAGTTCAAGCTAGCTCTAGCACATTCCTAGCTGAAACCGTGGGGGTGAGATTGTTCAGGAGAGGAAGCGGAGAGAAGCATGGGATCATCCCTCCAACCCCCGAAGTCTTATTTATTTTTATTCCCTGAGTACCGTGACCCTCAACGTATCTTACCATAGATGCGGAAGGCATACTCAATCTTCAAGCTGGGGCAGGCCTGGGCACTGAATACAGAAGCCATTCCCAAAACATCTTCAAATGAGAAGACATCATCATGGGAGAACACTCTGCAGATTCTGTCTCTGAAGGGGTTAACCTGCTGGGCAAGGAGGAAGAAGGTGATGTCCACTGTCCACAGTCTGGTGTTCACTACCCGTGTCCACGGTCTGAGCTTCCTTAAAAATAAGTTTAATTGATACCTTTGACTTCTTGTTTGTACATAATTGTTCACATGATGGCTTCCCCATTAGACTGTGAGCTCCTCAAGAGTGGGGACTGGTTTTATATCATAGTCATTTCCAGATTATTCCAACACACACACACACACACACACACACACACACACACACACACACACACAGCATTGAACCTCCTTTTATAACAAAGAATAAACAGTTGAGCAAAAAACAACAGATACAGTAACTCTAGCTATGTATATAATATTCTATCCCTGAAGTACCCCACCTTTCTCTTGAGGACAAGGCCATGTGTTTCATTATCTGTTCTCCAGCACCAGGATTAGTCCTAAGAACCACTAGGAGTTTGCCTTCTTATTACTGTTATTTCATTTACATTATTGCTATTTGTTCACCTGATCCTGCTTACTTCATTCTACATCAATTCATATGTCTTCCCATATTCCTATGAAGTCTTCATATTCATAATTCTTATTGCACAATATTTTATATAATAATATAACAACATGTCACATAATAATAATAGGGGATAATAATAGCACCAATAGCTTGCAGAGTTATGAGGATCAGATGAGATAATATTTGTAAAGTGCCTGGTACAGTGCTTGGTATGTAGTAGGAACTTAATGAATGCTTATTTCCCTAGTTCTCAATATATAATATATAATTCTACAGTATAATAAAATTATCTATATAATATATAATTCTAATTACATTAAATATTTCTATAATTCTGTATTACACATAATTATATTCTATATATAGAATATATGTAATAACATAATAGAATGATGCAATGTATGTGTATTCTATATTACATATATAATGCATAATATATTTCTAATGTATTCTATAATACATAAAAGTATATTATACATAATTCCATATAATATATAGAATTATATTACGTATAATATAATTACAAATACAATATAACATAGCTTCTGCAATGGTTCTCAGAGCATTGGGCCAATTATAGCTGTAAATATTTTTGTATTTATGCTACTTTTTTCTCTGTTCTTGACCTCCTTGAGACATATACCCAGTAGCGATATCATCGTGTCAAAAAGTATGAACTATTGAGTGCTTTTCTAGCATAATTCCAAATTATATTCTAGAATGGTTGTACCAAATCATAGTTCCACCATAATGCATTAGTATATTTCCCTTTCCACAATCCCTTCAACAATTGGGGTTTTTTCGTTTGGTTTTGGCCATCTGCTGGATGTGAGGCAACATCTCAGTTGCTTTAAATTTGCATCTCCTACTGTTAGTGATTTGGAGCAGTTCTTATAGAATCATTGATAGCTTACATTTCTTCTTTATCAAACTACCTATTCATCTCTTTTGGCAATTTATCTATTGAGGACTGGCTCTTCTTCTCATATATTTGTACTTTAGATATCAGACTTTTGTCACAGATATTTGTTGTGAAGACTTTCCCTTCTCAGTCAAGAGCTTCTCTTCTTATTTCAGCTGCACTGATTTTGTTTGCACAAAAATCTTTTAATTTTATGTAATCAAAATATTCAATTTCATCTTTTATGACCACCTCTCCAATTTATTTGAGAGTTCTCCCCCCTTAGCCATGGTTATGAAAGGTATGTCCTTTCATTCTTACTTAATTGTTTTGATGACATGTACTTTCATATTTAAATTGCATATCCATTTAGAGGTTATCGCAATATTATAAATTATTGTATTTCTGCCAAACTGGTTTCTGGTTTTCCCAGTATTTCTGTTGAATAGAGAATCCTTGTCCTGGTAGTCTGTGTTCTTGGGCTTATCAAAGACTAGACTATTATGTTTGAATTGCTTTGTGAGTTTTGCTTTCCTAGTCTGCTCCACTGATCGGCATTCCTATTTTTTAACCAGTAGCAAATGGTTTTAATGATTACTGCTTTATTCTATAATTTAAGATGCTGTAATAAAGGCCTCCCTTTATTCCTAACATTTTTCTTTATATCCATTGAGAATTTTGATCTTTCTTTTCCTCTCAATGAAGTTTATATTATTACTTTTTCTAGTTCTACAAAGTAATTATATGATAGTTTGACTGATATGGCATTAATTTTATAAATTAATTGACCAACAAGCATTTATTAAGCATCTCTCCTATGTGTCAGTCACTGTACTAGGTACTGGGGATACAAAGGCATAAGAGAGGTAGTCCTTGCCCTATAAGCACTTATGTTCTATTTTTTGTTTGTTTGTTTGATTTTTGCTTTAAATAGTATTTTATTTTTTCCCACAATTACATATCAAGAAAATTTTTAGCATACTTGTGTTCTATTAAAGGAAGGAAGAGAATGCAAGATATTCACAAATGTTTAGAAATACATATGGTGGGGACGGGGCAACATGAGGAGCTAATCAGGACATCCCTACCATCAAACACAGTAGTCTAGTGTTTGATGAGGCCAAGAACATAACCTACCAGGACAAGGACTCCCTATTGAACAAGAACTGCTGGGATACTTGGAAACCCCAGTTTGGTAGAATTAAGTTTAGATCAACATCTTACTTACACCATCTATGTATTATAGTAATCTCTAAATCGATGCAGCTTAATAAGGGATTATACAACTTAAATATAAGAGAATCTGTCACAAAAACAATTAAAGGAGAAGGAAGGAAGACTATTCCACAACTATAGCTAAGGAGAAATTTCTCAAACAAGACATAGAGGTAATTCTAGAATGCTATGATTCCATCAAATTGAAAGACTTTTGCACAAATGGAATCGATTCAATTAGGATACAAAGAGTCCAGTGGATGACCTCACAAAAGTAGAAGGTAACAGAGACAAGATGTTAATACATTAAAAATTTAAAGAAATACTTCTACTTATCCCTTTATAAAGTGTGAAAGAATGATTGTGGCAAGAATGAAGAGGAGAGGTCTATGAGAGACATGGTGGCAATAAGATACCCAAGACTTGGCACTGGATCAGATCTGGAGGAAGTAAAAGTGAGTAAAGAATGGAGGATGACTCTGACATTGCAAACGTGAAGAAAGGAAGTTAAGAAGACAGGTGCGTTAGCAGACTCGTGGATCCTAACACAAAGATAGCTTGAAAGCATTCCTTAGACTTGATGAATGGACTATGATTGTGGAAGAGTATAACATATTAGAATGGAATGAGATATTTAAGGGGAATCAGAGGGGATGAATGGCATTGCAGATGGGGAAAATACTCACATGAGGAAATCCAGGAACCAGAAGTGGGAAGCATGGTAAAGAACAACAGGGCAAAGATCAACAGAGGCAGAAAGAACAACAATGTTGTTATTACAGTATGTTGTAGACCACCGGCACAGAAAGGGGAAAGAGATGAAGAGTTAGGGAAACAGATCATAATTCTGGCCTCAACCTTCTATAGTGAGGATAGGGAGAGAAGCCAGACCTAGGATTTCACTGGCATAAGGCACTCCCAGATAAGGAAATTATCTCTACCAATGCAGGTCAGCATCTTCTCTGCAACTTACAGTGTTAGCGAGTTGCCTAGAGCACTGATAAATTAAGTGATTCACCCAGACAGTCAGAGGTGAAACTTGAATCCAGGTCTTCCCGGTTCCAAAATTGGTTTCTATCATCTTACACCACATTGCCTCTCTTAACGTGATAGGTGACTTCAATTACCTCAGCATTTGCTGGGGCCCTTTTTCTGACCAGTGCAGAACAGCTAATAACTCCCTGATTTATTAATGGTAATCTCATTTTTAAAAGTTGGAGGAACCAATGAAGGAAATGTCTATTTTGAATGTAATTCTCATCGGCTTGGTGAAGCTAACAGGACTATTGGTCTCTGGCTTTGCTTTATGTTTCTGCCTTTATTACGCATATCTACCAGAAACATTTTGACCAGCACCAAAATCTCCCTAGAGTAACAAAGAAGAAGTTGCTAGAGTAAAAACAACTATTCCATCTTCAGATTTACGATAACTAAGGAAAGGAAAGTCAACCATTGTCTGACATGCAGGTTAGACTTTGAGGGAGTAGGTTTCAAATGTTTCAGAGAAAGGATAGGTAAAGTCCCAAATTCTTAGAGGAAATCAGCTCAGGAAGGATGGGAAGCAATCTGGCTGCACAAAGAACTAACTAACCGACCAAGGACAGGGGATGGAAAATGAATACAAATGCTTGGTGTGGTACAGTCGTGTAAGAGTAGCATTAGGAGGACAGAAGCTCAGCATGAGCTGAGATTGGCACCGAAAGATAAGAACAACAACAAAATGGGAATTTGAAAAAGCCATATTGTGAAGGAGGAAATGAAAATTAAAGAAGGGAAAAGACTCTTGTATGGACCACAGAGAGAAGGTTGAGCTGCACAGCCCGTGTTTGCTTCTATATTCTATGCCTAGGAAAAATGATCTTTGGACTGGAAAAGATAGAACAAAAGAGAGTAAGAGGAAGCTGATATTTATAAGACAAATGAGGAGATTGTACGAGAGTACCAGGCTGTACTTGACAAGTTCAAATCCCCAAGACTGAGCTACATTTTTGGGTCCTTAAAGAACTGGTGGATGGAGCTGCTAAGCCAGTAATACTTGAAAGACTATGGAAAATGGCAGGTGTTATATACCATTCATTGAAAGAGGGAAGAGAATGGAGGCTGAAAACAATAGGCTAGAGACCGGTATCTGGAAAAAAAAAATCACGGCCAAATTATTAAAGTGTGGTGGTGAACATTTAGAAAAGGAAGTATTTGGTGATCACAGAGAACCACTCTGGCTTCATGAAGAGTAGCCAGACTCATCTCAATTCCTTTCTGCACAAGGTTACTAGACTGGTAGATCTAAGGAGTGCTGTGTAGCATAACTAGATTGTAGCAAAGCATTTTAAAGCCTTATGCTATTCTTATGGAAATGATGGGGACATAAGGAATGTAGGATAGGAC